TGACAGAGGCAGATGGCGGGGTCTCGCTGACCAATGTTCCCAACGGAATGGGAGGAACTAAGACTAAGACCCAGTTCTATTGCCACTTGAAAATAGATAATCTGCTGTTCCTACTCTTGGTTTTCATATCCAAGCCTGGCCCTAATGATCAGCCTATCTTCTACGGCTTACTACCATCCAGCCTTCTGATGTTTTGCCGTGTCACCTGTAGAATCCATATACTTCTAACTGTAAATACTTACATATATTTAATGAACCCTCTTTTGAGCCAGTTTTCAGTATTGTAATTTACTGATGGCTCAATATCAAATGACTCTGTGGGTTCTGCTGTGGTTTGCTCAAGAAGTCTCAGGCTTTTATGGTCATTGCAGAGTTATATGCAATCTCACTTGTTCTGGATCACATCAAAGCTAACCAACTTACAAACCAAAGGCCTTTTAAATTCTACTTTATGTTTTAACCTTAAAAACTAAAATATGTATATACACAATTTTATTTTGTATGTATACTCTTCTTTTGTACACTTTCCTTCTTATGAATTTTGATTTATGTAAAAAAAATTTATACAATCACTCACTCAGTTGTTTATATGTGGTTCTCTACTTTCAGAATTTTTTAGTTTAATACTGTTTTTCAATCTCTGTAACAACGTTTTATAATATCTCCTACTTATATTGTTACATTTTGATGACACCATTTTCAACAAATAATTTTTGTATTCAAATTATGATAACTTCAATAAATCTTTCGAGAGAATACAGTTTAACACTTTCTTGTGTCTATTTCCAGCTGGATGAAACTTGGATTTTTAGTGGATCCAGATGGGAAAATTCCAGTTAGAAGGTAGGTTTAAGCTTAGTTTAAGTTTTAATAATCTATTTTTTAAAGACATTAGACATTAATAAAAAATGTTGTGATCTGATCTGCCATATAAGAAATACACTTAAATTCATATTAAAGGTCTTTGGAGTGTTTAATTTACATTATCTTAGCTAGAAAACTAATTTTGATCTTGTTATTTGTGATATGAAATATTTTACACTTGCAGCTAATATCTTGTAATAATCTATCTTTATTGTTAAGGTATTAATTGCAGTACATTAAGTAGTAACAGAAGGTGTCATACAGTTTTTGATGCTTCTTATTGTGTTCTAGAATTGCCCAAACGTTTGCATCAGGGAAGACAGAAAAGCTAGTTTATCAGTGTTTTGCAGAAGTAGGGCTTCCAAGTGGAAAGGTATAGCTAGAACTATTGTATACAGCAAACACTTTTGACCTTATACATGTATGTACAATGAACTAAAGAGTATTCACTGTACCATCTTACATAAGTATGCAGAAGCTACAATTAATTTGTTCATGTAGCAAAACTTTGGCATCTCCAGTTTTTTCTTGTTCTTAAGTTCTGTACACATTCATATTCTATATACACTGAACCTTGAGTTGTTCATTTTGTTAATGATACTTAGGTAATGTAATAATCTCTCTGACATTTTGTATATATTGCCCTTAGATAACTAGTAAGACCAGCTAGAAAGAAACTAAATACTCTCTTGTATAGCACATTGCTACTCAAAGCATTTCAGTTTCATAGTTATTACAGGGTGATTTTTATGCATCGTACATTTTGTTTTGTAATAATTCTGTAATATAACACATGAACAACACAAAATTTAACATGATTTTACATAAATTAAATGGAATGAGAATGATGTGTTCAGTATATCTTCCTTGCTGTGATATCATGTGATGTATCATTGCACAAAACACTATGTATTGTTTTATGGGAAACTCTTTACATATTCTTCCAAGTTACTGCATCATTAAGCTCCTGTATAATTTGTGGATTATTTTTCAATAAACATGAGAAAAGTCATAAAGGTTCATATCAGGCGACATTAGACTCCAGGATAGCCCACATCCGTAGATGTCAGGTGTCTACATGGAAGGATGTTATATCCAGAGGTTTCACACAAAAAAAGCCACCACAATGTTTGCTGCTGAGATTTCATGTACCACACATAAATCTCTCAAGTGTGCAGTGTAATGTTGCCAATTTCATAACATTCATATCTGATACATCAGAATTATTACTGTTACAAAATGAAAGATGTATAAAAATATATGGAACCAACAAAATCCTGCTTCCGATATGATACCTTACCTCCGCCTTCATAATAACTTTTCTTGACTTGTGCTGCCTTTTATTTGCACAATTTTTATAATTTTTTATGCTCCTACCTACCCTCATGTGATTTTATGTGGTATAGCTGCTCTGTAGCATGTAAATAAGGTATCAATAGGAGCACAACACACCCTCCTAGCGCAGCTGACTTCCTCTATACTGTTGAGCACTCTCATCACTTCTTGATATGAAATTCGAGTGTGCACTTGTGCTTGATTTTTGCCCCATGTTTCATATTATCATGTGTAATTTCACTAAATACTACTGTATTCAGAATGTTAGTTTGTGGTTATTTCTTTTTTTTTTTTTTGCTAAAAATATTTTTTTGAGTGGGCAATTTTTTTCTTTTCTGCATAATGAACTTTCAATTTAATATTACTACAGTGGCTTTTGGTATGGATCCTGCCACTACTGATCCAACAACAATTATTACTTCTGTGGCTTGGTTCCATACTTTCAGTGGAGGAGGTCTCGGCCTTGGTGCATTGTGAGTTAGAGTCTATCATGTGGTCAGCTATGTTTCTGGAATCACGTTTGGATCTCCATTTTCCTGGAGAATCTTTTCCTGAAGATGAATATATATATATATATATATACAGCCTTTGCTGTGCCTTCCCATGCTACCCCTTTCGATCTATCTCACCCTATATCTACATTTTTGGACATGTTACCTCTTATCTCATTCCTCTGTGTCATATGATTCCTCCCCTCCCTTCTTCATTCTGCCCGGACATCAGATTATTTAGTCCCACCCCCCTCCCTCACCTGATATTCAAGTCTATGCTGAACAGTTTCTTACTCAATTATTTTCAGGTGTCAGCATGCTCCATCTCCCAGTTTAGCTGACTCCCATGCTTTGTCGTATCACAGGTTGGAATTTTCCATTTTTTATATTCTCAGATCTTAAGGTCTCTGATTCAGACATTGGGCTCTGATCCTACTACTACACTATGATTTACCCCCTCTCTACACTCACTACCATTCTCCCTCATCTTACATCCATTCACCTCTTTTCTGAGGCTATTGACCATTCCCCTAATGGGTTTTTGGCAGATACACCTACCTCTGCTCCTCTCTCTTTATCCCCATGCCCCATCTTTTGCCCTCCTTGGGATCTACTCTCTTGCCAGCATCTCTCAAAGGCAGTTTGAGATGTTTTGAGCAAGGATGCTATAGAACAAGTGCTTCATTCTTCTCATGAGTTTTATTCCCAGCTGTTTGTTCTTCCCAAGAAGACCGGGTATTGGCATCCTGTTATCGTTCTCTCCAACCTCACCTGCTTCATTGACCTCCCACAGTTCACCATGGAGGCTTTTCTTGCCTTCTGATGGTTGTTCACTCCAGGTCTATGGGTGTCCAAGATCCATGTCTCAGATGTTTACCTTTATATCCCTATTTTTACAGCATCCAGACATTACATTTGGTTTGTTCATGGGGGTCAGGTGTTTCAGTTCTGCACTCTACCATTCGGCCTGACATTGATGCCATATGTCTTCTGTTATGTTGCCAGAGCCTTTGATCCCCTGAACTCCGCCATCTTCCTCCCTCCTTCCTTACAAATTGAGTATGCCTGTTGGCTCGACAGGGACAACACCTCATTGGGGATTTCTCTGCCTCCTCCCATCCTGACTTGCATCTCTTTACAGATGCTTTTCTTACAGGAATGGGAGCATACTTAGATTCTCAAGATATAGTAGGTTGATGGTCAAATCTTCCCTACACATCAACCTTTTTGAACTCCTAGCTGTTTCTTGGGCCTTGGATCATTTCCTGATGGTGGTACAGGGACACTTGGTTATGATCCATTCCAATACTTTGACCTTTGTCTCTTACATCAATCATTCAAGTGCTTGATCTGCTTTTCTTGGCCCAATCTCAGGAGGACATTTTTGTTTGCCACATCATGGGTGCTTTGAATCATGTGGCAGATGGGTTATTTTGTCCAAAACATTTTGCCAACAGATTGGTTTCTTGCTCCTCAAGTGTTCCAGTGGATATGCACTGTATCCCCGTTTTCTAGATGCATTTGCACTCAGCTCAATACAAAACTTCCCCTCTTCTGATCTCTGATTCCATATCCTTTGGCTTTAGTGGTTGATATCTTCAGTCAGAATTGGACCAGTCTTTATCTGTATGCTTATACTTCCATCTATCTTCTGCCCTACGCTTTCTCTCTTTGTATAAACCACTGTGTGTCAAATCATTCTTATCATCCCATTCTGGTCTGCAGAACTGTAGTTTCCACTGATAAGCTTCCTTCAATCATTTCCTCCCCTACCTCTTCAACTTTCCTTATCCATTCTTTGGTAATCTCAGTCTTTCATCATGTCATAGCCACACTCTGTCTTCATATGTGGATTTTGTCCGATCCCTTGTGAAATGATGCAGATTTTTTACATGGATAGCCTTCCTTCTTTCTCACCCAATCCATCCTTTTTCTTTGATGGTTTGCCATCATAATTGGAGCATTTTCTGTTGTTGGTTTTTGCACTATGGCCTTTCACTTTTTCTACCAAGTGTTCCCCACCTTTTCAGTTTTTTTACTTGGCTTTTCAACAGTGATTTATCTGCTTCTACCATTGTGAGTTATAGAGCAGCTTTGTCTAATACCTGTCATTTTTCCTGCTTCCATCATATTTTTTCCTCTCCTGTCATTTCTTTCCTGTTCCTTTTGCCTGATCCATCCACCTCACCCAGTTCCCCTACCAGATTGGAATCTCAGTGTTTTCCTTCATGCCTTTACCGTTCCTTCCTTTGGCATCCTGCTCTTTGTACCAACTTCCCCTCGAGATGTATTTCTTACTCCTCTTTATGTGTGGATACCATAGGTCCAATATCTTTGCTATTAATGTCTCCTATATTCTTTATCACCATACCTATGTCCTCCTTTATCCGAATCATAGTTATTTACCCAAGACATTGATGGCCTGTGAAGGGAATATCACCTTCACTCCTACTTCCCTCCCTTCCATTCCTCAATTCAATTCTGGTATGAGCTCTGCATTGTTAGGCCCTCTAACATTCCTGTCTTTTTTATATTCTGGAATTTCTCCTCTACCCATGACCTTTCTCCTGTCACCCTTACAGGATAGATTCACCAACTTATTCATCTTGCTAATTCATTGTTATCTGAGAATTCTCATCATATTTTCCTCATTTCCTCCCACTGGATTCATCTTCTCACCCTTTCCCTGGCTGCTCACATTTGTCCTCCCTTGGAAGAGATTATACAGGCTGGCATGTGGCACATGTTTATTGCCTACTACCTGCATCATTTGGCCATCTTTATCTGGCTATTGCTTGCTCCCCATCACCATTCTCCAAACTTCATTTTGACTTTGAAAGGTTAAGTTCTTACTTTTATCTCTTCCCTTTACAGTGGCCCTTTCTCCTTTTCTGGATCATGATCTATAGTGAGTGGTACTTGTACAGGTACATTTAAATGTAAATTTGCACCATATGGCCTTTCAGGTCTATAATACTCTATGAAAAAAAATGGGGTATTCCACAAGACCACTGGAGGTTGCCTCACAAATTCTTGCTTCACAAATAAGGCCTACATGAGACCATACAAACTCGTGGACCATCATGAGTAAAGCAGTGTTGGGATCACTGTCCATCCCTCCGATAGGGTTTTTGGGGTCACCTATTGCACTGCTGTACAGTTGTATGTTCTTCTGGATCCTCACCACCTTGTTACCCTCCCTCTCCCAGTGGAATATGGGAGTCCTTGCCACTTACCAGTTTCTAGCTGCTGGGGTGGTGGACCATCGAGGTTTCCTCCTGAATGTGACCAATTCCACTCAGTCAAGAGTAGAGCAGTGTTCTGTTGGCATAGATGATGAGTACCTCTCTTTCAACCATGAACCAGAAGACAAATACCTAATGCAGCCTGTTTTTGAACTGGACGAAACCACCACCTGCAGTTCACCCCTCTGGCTGGCTTTTCCCCAGTCTACCTTTGCCTGAATGTCAGTTCCCAGGTGGTCTGGTGTTGGATCGGTGTAGGACCAGCCAACATAAGTCCTCACACGTAGTTGGTAGGGTAGGGGCCTTCTTCCTATCATAGAATGGATGAAAAATTCCAGATGGCATCTGGTTTTGGACTGAAGTTAACCCACCATGTATGCATTCCTCCTTCCTACTGTTACCAGGGTGTCAGTATTCCAAGTGGCCTAATGTTGGTTGTGCACTGGGTCTGTATGCGTGTGCTCTGGCTGGATTGTTAGAACAGAAGTTTTTCCCTTCTACCTCCTGTTTTTGAGGTGAAAATGGTTGGGACCCTCCTCCTACTGCAGACTGGAAGACAAATACCCAATGCTACCTGGTTTTGGAGAGGATTTGACCCACAGGATATGGTCTAATGCACCCTAGCCACATTACACCATCTAGCACATCCAATTACAGGTTGGATATTTACCTCATCTAACACTTTTGACTTCTAGAACATCTTTTTTTGCCTAATCTTAAAGTGATTCGAGTGCTTTACAGTATAAAGAGAGTCAGCTGTGCTAGGAAGGTGTTGCACTCTTATTGGGGTAAGGTTGTTGCATGCTACAGCCCAGCTATACCATGTGAAATCATGTGAGGGTAGGAGGGAGCATCAAGGCTAGTGGCAGGTGAAAACTGTGCAAATAGAGGGCAGCAAAGCTATTATGTGAAAGTATCTATTGTAAATACATTTTCACTGTTGGAAAATGCTAACTATAATTAAAAATCTGTTTTAAAAATTCCATTTATGTGTTAGCATTTCTTATTATCAAACTTTTTTCTTCACATTTTTTAACAAATACAAGTTATTTCAGAAAGTTTTGTGGACAAGAACATAATTTAACATAATCAATAATAAAAATTCAATATCTAGTATATTAAATGTATTTTATCATGTACTAAATGAAGTTACATTTATTTTTGTGTTCTAATTTAACTTTCATGTTAATATATTTGAAAATTAAATAAATTATATCTAGGAAATGATTGATAAGAATTTAATTTTGCGACTGTGAGTGTAAACTTTTTAAACTCAATACATAGGTCAATGAATGAATAAGTCAAATAGGTGTTACCATAGAAAGTCTTATAAATGAATTTTAAACTTAATATAAAAATATTTTAAGATAGTCACTTAATTATAAGTGTATAAGAAAGTTCCTTTTTTTTATCATAATTACTAATGTTCAGTTAATATTATGGTTTTGAATCTTTTTCGTAATTATTATATTCCAAACAGGCATTCATAATTGTCTATTTATCATAGACAAAATTATTATGTTGTTCTTTTAGAATGATGTTATGGAACAGAAAGAATTTACTTTTGACAAATTTTACCAAATCTACCATAAAATATGTCCTCGAAATGACATAGAAGAATTATTCAACAGTATGTAAGTATAATAAGCTACATATTTATGCTTTTTACCTAGTACATTCTGTTATTTTTAAGTACTTTATTTGCTGCTGGCTAAAATTAAGTGGTTTCACTATTTAAGTAAATAATTGTAGTATTAATTTATTGAATTAGAAAATATAGTTATGTGGAAAAAGTAGAATAAATAACTAATAAAGTATGATTGTAAATATTGGAGATCTGTAAAATTAATGTAGTTTTAGACTTCCGTGGCATTAATCTTATTATAATATTCTGAATAATCATTTCTTTGAAAATGTGTATTGAAAGAAATAGGAATACTGTATGATATACATACTATTATTACACCTTCTCATTCTTGCATATCGTACTTCATTAAATTATTTGTCAGTTTCTTAGCCTTGTATGATACAATAAAAATATATTTTAGAAAATTAGGGACAAAGCCCTTGATAACAAATCAGACTGTTGAACAGTTGAACACACTTGGAATCCAGCGTTTTTAATGCACCAACTAAATTAAATAGCCTTTGACCACTAATTTTATCATCTTTTTAGCTAAGTTACTTTTAGTATCTAGGATAAAAAAAATAACTAAAATTGTTTCTACTTGATGAAAAAGTCTTGGCAATTTAGAAAACAGAGTAAAATGTTCTAAAAACCATTTAATATATATTCATTATTGAGATATTAGCTACAGTAGTGTGTTAGGATTTTCAATAATATTTATTTTGTTGTAATACAAGTACAAAAGGGAAGACTGACCATGTGGACTGGATGACTTTCATGAACTTTTTAAATGAGGTATGTTAAATTTTAGTGATTCAAATATTTGAACATGTTGGTATGAAAAAAAGAATCTCATTACACAGATTTAAAGGAAGAGAAATTTCATTGAAAAATTAAGAAATTGAAATTTGAAATTCTCGACCAGTGTCATCAGTTATACTCAATATTCAAAATTTACAGAAATGTAAATATAACTAAAAAAAAAGATAATATTATGTGAAAACAATAAATTATGAATAAATATACACTAAACTAAACAAAACAAACAGAAATAGAAGGTAAAAATATGGTATCAAATATCTCTTCCAGCGAGTGCATATTTCATATTTACAGAATTAAAAATAAAATTTTAAGATTCTAATTCAGAACATACTAAATCTGGGCAAGGTTATTTGCTAGTTCAATTCTAGCTTTTACTTTGTATAGCATGGTCCAGTTATAGAAACTATTTACTGTGTCCTGGAGTAGTTGTATTGTGCCCTATACTCTACCTTGTCTAAGTGGGACTGCTATATGGCTATCACATGGAAAAAAAAAGAGATATTTCCAGTTATTTGTAATGTTATTTTCTGTTTGTTTGAAGTTAAGCACAAAGCTACACAAATGGCTATCTGTGCTCTGTTCACCACAGGTATCCAAACCCGGTTTCTAGCATTGTAAGTTTGTAGACATACTGCTGTGCCACTGGGGGGGTTGTGATGTTATTTGGTGTTTGATTAGATACAGAGAGAATGTGAAATGTGAGAGTAGTTTTTGCATTTTTCATACAGATTCATTTTCTTAAAATTTGTTAGTGAACTTTCTGATAATGTGTGCTGACAAATATATTTTATTTTAAAACAGTTCATTGCCAAGTAAAGTTGATTCTCTTTTACTTAAGTATAGTTTCTGTCATTTGATTATTAATTAAATTTTTATGACTATTTTTATGTCTTTCTTTTCTTCATTTATTTGAATCACATTGCAGTAGACCTGTCCTCTAACATACCTTTTTTCCAGTTCACCTTTTGTTTTCTCTAGTGTATAAAGTGTTTATTTGTTATTTCATCTGCATGTCAAGTCATGTCTCTTTCATTCCACCTGAAACAAAATCACCAAACATGTTCTTCCACACAGGAGTTCCTTTAATCTCCAGTTGGTGTAAAGATCAGGTAACTGTGTGCTAGGTTTATTCTTGGAATTCCACAAAAACAATACAAGGTTTTGGTGTATCAAGTAAAGAAAGTTAAATCAAAATGATGGTTTAAACATGGTTTAAAGTACAATATGTGCTTTGTGAATGTTAATGTAAGTGTTACTTACCAGCAGTTTAAACATATTTTTTGCTTAACTTTAATAGAAGTTTTAAATATAAATTATTTCAATGGAGTATTTTGATTATCATTTTCACATAGAAGATCCGCTTACAAAAAAACTAAAAATTTTGTAATTGTATCTAGAGTTAATTAGTGCCAAATGACAAACTGTAAATGTATATTTTGTCCTCCCTGAGTATAAAATTACTTCAAGTTTTTAGTAGAATACAGGTTCACAGCAAAAGGATTTTAGTATAACACAGGTGTGAATATTTTAGTCATCTAGTAAAAGTATTATTGCTGCTGTGGTACATGTATTCAGTGCATCTCAGTTCTTACATTACTATATATTTAATGTAAGAACTGAAGATTTGAAGTACATACCTTTATATTTTTTATAAACATCAGTAAAAGTTAATATTTTATACAAATTTTCATAACAATTTCTTTGCTGCATCTTATAATCAAAAATATAATTTTGAGTTTATTTTATTGTGTTTTTGTAACGAATATTGTGTTGTGAAGAATTAAAGGGGAAATTCTATTAATTCAAAACAAGTAGGGCTTGGCATGACCTAGTGATTAGGGTGCTCAACTCACAATCTACAGGTTGTGGGTTTGAATCCCTGTCACTGAACATGCTTACCCTTTCAGCCATGGGAGCATTATAATGTGACAGTCAATCAAGACAGTCAAAACAGGTTCTTACTCTTGAAATGTAAAAATCCTTTTGTTGTTGAGTTGCTCACATGCTGTCAATAACCATTTGATTAAAGTTCTGAATGTTCTTCAAATCAAGCAGAGCATGCATCAACTTACCCAGAGTTCTCCTCTCCTACCTTCCATGTGACTTATTGTGTCTACATCAGGAGGATGTATGTAAGCTCTACTTTCCCATCATAATAAAAAAATTCTTATTCAGTTAGGTTGTTAACTTAACTTACTATAAATTCTGAATACCAGCAAGTAGTATTTGTGGTGCTGCCTTGTGTCCCTTGTCTACTTCAATGTCAACTACTTCTACTCATTTCTTTTGATATTTCCAAGTGGCCAAAAGTAATATCAAACATGATTTACCTTTCCAACCCACTCAGTAACTCTTTTTTTATTCTGGACGAATATCTTATGTGAACTGTTTGGGGGTCATCTTGAATCATTGGTTCATTTGTAGGACTCTTGGCATAGGATTCCTTTGGTTTAACTGATCCCTTCTGTGTGATCTAATGTATTTTCCTTCTGATACATTCGCATTAAAATCTCCTTCAGAAAGGAGCAGTCAAAATTATTTATCATGCTACTCAAAGTTTTTACTTCCATTTCGTTGTAGTTCTAAATATATCAGGATACTGGAGACCTGTCATTGATCTATCTCAATTCTTTATTTCCTAAATGGTTTTTAATCTTTTTTGTAATTATTCTAAAACGAAAAGCATCAAGCTGTTGTGAACATTTTTTCATTGTTGCCATTGAATGATTTTGATGGATGTACAGGATGCTTATCCTTATATCCATGTCCATCCATCAGTCTCCCATTTCTTTATGGGTTTACCAGTTCAATGTCCTTATCTTCAGCTCCATACACCTAAACTCAGCATATTTTTTTACATTTTACATGGATGATTGGCTTATTCTGACCCATTCATCCATTCAAACTCAGTTGACCATCCAACAAGCCAAATCTCTTGGGTGGATCACCAATGCCTTCAATTTCCATTTTAGTCCCACCCAGTACTTGGTACACATGAGATTTTGGATCAACACAGTTCAAGGTACACTTCAACCACCTCTTAAAGCATTGTTACCCACTAAGTCTTATGTACATACTCTTATGTCTTCCACACTTACCACCAGAAACATTATTTCTGCTTTGGGGATGATGGCATCACTTCATAAAGTCTTTCTCTTGGGGAGCACTCACATGCAACAACTCCAATGGGGCCTTGTTTTTCAGTAGTGTCTGAATTGAAAACTTGTTATTTAGCATTAATATTTCTTCCATCAACTCATGTTTTTCTTGGTTTGGTTGAAACGAGTTACAACAGCTAGATCTTTTCTTCCTCATCCTAAAGATAATTATCTTTTCACAGATGCCTATCTCTTAGTTGAGATGCTGTATTCAGAAATTAGCATCATTCTCTTTCTTAGACTCCTCAGGAAGTAACAATATCAGTGTGTTAGAATGTTTGACTGTTTAGCATGCTTGTTTTGAGTTTCTATACCACCATAATTCCACAGGGGTAGCTTACACCAACAATTAAAGTGGTATTTACTCTGGCTTTGCAACAGAATCTCTGCTGCCTTGGATTTATTCTCAGCTTGTTTACCTTTAAGCCTATAACATTCTTGGTGCAATAAACATTTTATAAGACACTCTTTCCCTAGTTTGTTGGTTTGTCCAACAGAGTGGATCCTTCATCCTTTGTTTTTTCATTGGCTTTGAAAAAGGGTAATCATTTTATAATCAACCATTCTACTGATCTTCAAATCTAAATTCTATGGCAGTAATGCCTTGAGTAACTCTTGGGAGAATCTCTTCCTTTATGCTTACCCTACTCTCCTCTCCACCTTGTTTCTCAAGTACTTGCCAAGATCAGATACTTGAATTTCAGGATTCTCCTTGCCATTTCACTCTGGCCTGCTCAACACAGTTTCCCGTTTTATGTCCATTTTTCCACATTACCACCATGGGAACATCTTTTTTTCACAGTGATGTTCATTGTCTACAGCTTTGTGGTTGACTGTTGTTTGATTCCTTGTCCAAGAAGCCAGATTCTTTTTTTTCTGGACTACTTGATTGTAAACACCCATTCTGGTAAACACTCTTTCCTTGCTGTCTATTAATGTTGTTGGACTACCTTCTAGAATTAGAGCATTGAACAATATTTCTTGTTTATTTCCACTCCTGAAGAAATTGTTTCTGTCATTATGCATTTTTTTCATCATTGTGGCTTATCAGCTTCCTCCAAAGTTGGTTACCTTCAGTCTGTTTTGTCCTCATTGCTGAATTACATTTTTTGAGCCTTTCACCCTTTACAACCTCAAGCTCTTACACATTGTCCTAAATGGGCCTTGGGTTTAGTCTTCCATTTTGTTATTTCTTCCATTTTTGAAGCCTTGATTACTTGTTAAGGATGAATATCATTTTACTCTAAAATTGTATTTTCTCTAATTACATGCATTGGGTAGAAGTCGTTCTGATATCCATGCATTTGATTGATTTACATACTTAATTTTCCCCTGAAGCCTTATACTCAGATTGAGCCTTAATGCCTTAATTTCTATCTACTCCTGGGGTTGTCAGGTTGTTTCTCACTAATTGTTTTACTTACCCTGACTGATCCTGATTCTCAATCAGAGAAAGTTTTCATGTTTTGTCAGAGTTACTTGCTATTTTGAACATACTGAATATTTCATGGGGGAGGGGGGTCTAGGAAAAGTAGTTTATACTTTACAACAAATCATTTTCCTCGATTTTTCCACTAACTACATTAACAACTTGACTTGTATTATTCATCCATTTTATTTTAACTTGATTTTCCTGAAAACCTTACAAGTAGTTTTCAGATTGCATTGCTAAATTTGACATTTAGCAATGCCTTCTAGTATCCCAGTCACAGTACTTTTATAGAATACTCAGCAGGCTGGCATGTGGGTGATTTCAAATACCTTTTTTAAAATTTTAGTTACATTGTATAGCCTCTTCTTGTAAATCTTTAAACCAGATTAACTCCCAAATAGGGGAGTTATTCCCTGCCTAGTTAATTAATACTTGGGTCCAAACATATGTTGTGCATGATAATCCATGCATTACTATGTGGCCCAACACCTTTTTTAACAACTACAGGGGTACCCAGAATTGTAGAATCAGTTGATCAAAAAACAAAAACAAATATGGTCTCCTTATAATATGAGACTATTGTCAAGTGGATTCATCCAAATGGAACTCATGCATATTACATATAACTCTTTGTAATTCTTTTTAACGCACATTGTGTTGGTATATTAAGAGTAACAATTACAAAAAATTACATTTTTTGTAATTGTTACTGTTAATATAACTCTTTGATTGCTCTAGACAGAATTTTACCATCTATGCTGTTGTCCTAAACAAAATTCTACTCTCTGTGCTGGTACACCATGAGAAAATGCCCTTTGGAAATGAACAGAGGATGCCAGCTGGTGGATGATGATGGTGATGCCTCAGCAAATTCCTTTTCCACCTCAACATGCACATACTTGAGATGACTGTTCTCCTTATGATGTCTCGTATCTCCAACCAGTATGTGGAACACTTAAGTATCTTTTTTTTATCTTTTTCTTAACCTGTTTGGTGTTCCTTTTGCATTGTCCTGGAGTTGTAGAGCCCATCCTCAGGTCTACTGGGATCTTTTTAATTCTTTCTGGGTGCCTGCTGACTAGACAAACTTTTCTGATGTGGTTGTAGGGGCTTAACCCCAGGAGCATTTTCACTCATTAATTGTTACTAGTCTACTTTTCCAAGAATTTTCCACTACCAGTACAAGGCAATGTATATGTATTTTGTATACCACCACCTGTGATGTACACAGCTGGGAATGTGATGGCTCACATATGCTGCCTGACTCCAGCTTTTATATATTACTTAAGACAGTGAGATATCCTGCTGAGAAGTATGCTTTTTTTTTCTGAGTTTACTAATTTTGTCCAGTTCCTTATGAGATTGGTCTGCTCTACTTGTTTCTATCACAAATCCACTCTGTTGACTTTTACTCTGGTTTTGGATTCTATTCAAGCTCTGATTGATCTCATGTTCAATTATTATGATGTAGGTTGTTACTTTCCTGTATAAAAACCCAATTTTTGGTGACTCAGTGGTCTTTATGACTTTCTATATTTCCCTTCTCCATCTTAGTGGCCCCCAGTGACACAGTGGTATGTCTGCAGACTTACAATGCTAGAAACCGGGTTTCGATACCCATGGTGGGCAGAGCACAGATAGCCCATTGTGTAGCTTTGTGCTGAGAATTGCAACTTTTATGTTTCAGAGGTAAGTCTGCCTGTTTTGAATTTTACACTTTTAAAATTAAAATGAATTTCAAACAGTTACTTACCTCTGAAATATGTTCACACTCACCTACCCTACAACTATGAGATAAATTGATTTACAACCTGACTACAACAACAGAATCTGTATTATGGAGGAAAAAGCAAACCTTATATAAGTCATGTGAAAGGTGGGATAATGGAAAACACTGGGTAAGTTGATGCGCTCTCTGCATGGTGTCAAGGACATTCAAGTCTTTAGTTATATGGTTATTAATAGCATTAGAGCAATTTAACAAGGAAAGGCCTTTCATGTTTCAAAGGTAAGTACCTATTTGAAAATCATTTTAGTTATATGAATGTAAAAACTTCATTTGAAAGGTTTTTCTAATTGTGTGTATCATATACAAATAATAAAGTGTAGCTATAATAGATTAGAAGCTGTTGCAAATATGTTCAGATGATTGTTACCTATATCTGAATTAATTACTTTGCTTTTGTCATATAAATCTAACAGAAACAACGGGATCCAAGGCTGAATGAGATCCTCTATCCACTATATAGTGAGAAAAGAGTGAAAGAAATCATAAGCTGTTATGAACCAGATCCAGAAAAAGCTGAAAATGGTATTTGAAATGAGCATATTAAATTGATTATATAGATTAATTTTGTAGTGAAAACTGCACTTTATACCTCACTATGAAAAAGTCCTAATTATATTTCTGAGATATAAAACAGAAGCATGTATACGTCCAGTATCATTAACAGTGTGGTTTCCATTGGCTGTGGTAATGCTAAATAGTAAATAGGGACAATGAGAATTTTGCTAATCCATTCATGTGCATCACTAATTTGATAATGAGGCATTTGGCTACCTTAATAGTGAAATAATGATTTATCAGGATTTTGCAAACTTTGTTGTATATGGGTATTCTCTGTTTTATAGTAAAAGAAAACACAATTATTGGCAGTCTTTCTGATTTAATTTAATGAAATAAAATTTACTACAGTGTGTTTCAAATTATTATCTGATGTGTTTTTTTTTGGATTACAAGAAATAGGAATAAGCTATAACTAAAGTTTATAATAGAATTTAATTGTATTGTTTGTTTGTTTCTGAATTTCATGCAAAGCTACACGAGGGCTATCTGCACTAGCCATCTCTAATTTAGCAGTGTAAGACTAGAGGGAAGGCAGCTAGTCATCACCACCCACCGCCAACTCTTGGGCTACTCTTTTACCAATGAATAGTGGGATTGACCGTCACATTATAATGCCCCACAGCTGAAAGGGCGAGCATGTTTGGTAGGACTGGGATTCGAACCCGCGACCCTCAGATTACAAGTCGAGTGCCCTAACCACCTAGCCATGCTGATCCTAAAATTTAATTGTAGAAAGTTGAATCATTTACAAGCAGGCCCAGCTCCTCTCCCATGGGAGATGTCAATGGAGTTTTTTGTTAGCCACCACTTACTAACCTTTTTCTTTACTTCTTGTTAACTTTCCCTTGCACTACCATTTTTTTCATGTCTTTTTATACCAGATGTGACTGATGATAGAGTAGGCAGGTATTTTTGGAATAATTTTAATGTAATATGCAAGAATCTACATTCAGGCATGTCAATCAGAAAAAAAATATTTATAAATATTGATGACTTGTGAGGTTGAAAAAATGCATTGAAAAATTACAAACAGAAAATATAATGCATAAAAACATGTTTGACTCATCAAAATTGACTATTCTTACCGATTTAGAAATATCATACAGTTTTTTAAAAATGATATAATTTTGTAAACCACAAGGGAGAATGAACTCGAGTGGGCCAAAGTGTAATTTCGAAGTGCATGACCCACCTCAGCACCCTCCTAGCACTGGCTCTGTTTGAAAGTTAGATCAGTGTTTCTACACACATTCAATGTGTTCTTAGCACTCAAGGTTTCATAACTTTAAATTAATGACTCAAATTGGTAAAAAATGTCAGCCATGTTATAGGTTTTATTGATCAATATGAGTATGTTTCATAATAAAACTTTATAGCATATTTAGATAGCCTAATTTAGTGTCATATTTATTACTTTGTGGTGCTTTATGTGTATGAAGTAACTTTAATCAGTATGTATATATGGTATTTCTACTCCTATTCTATTTGAATAGTTTTCACTTATTTTTAGCTATTTTCTATCTTATTTTAAGGCATCATCTGTCTAATCAGGTATCTTACAAAATCCTTTTAACTGATCTCATAGTATGTTACATATTTTACATTTTAAGTACATTTTAGTTTAATGTTGTGTGGTGTCCCATTTCCTTGGTACTGCAATAAATCGTATTTTTCATGATTAACCATTGTGTGTGATTCTGTAATAACAGAATTCTTGAAGTGAACTGAAACTTATTTACTTTGTCAACAAATTTGAAGGACTAATACATTCTATGTGGCACAATGTGTTAGTTATTCACTTTATTAAGTTTTCGAATACACATTTGTACTTTTCAGGACAGGAACTCAGTTTCTGAATGTGAATGTGAAAGAGTTCCAATAAAATAATATATAAAAAGTATGTAATAACTTATGCTTAAAGTGTGATGTATGTTTATTTTCTGGTTGTAGGGATTTTAACCTATGATGGATTGATCAGGTACTTCATGTCAGATGAGAATGCTCCAGTATTTTTAGACAGACTGGAGATGTACATGGACATGGACCAACCCTTGTCCCACTATTACATCAACTCCTCTCATAACACTTACCTCACAGGTAGACAGTTTGGTGGCCGCTCTTCTGTAGAGATGTACAGACAAGTTCTACTGGCAGGATGCAGGTAGATTGTGGCCCCACAGGTGTAAAGCTCTTTGATAGACTTTTAAGTATGTCTATGATTTATTTTTTAAATTTTGCACAACTACATAATTTTTTCATTTATTTATGAGGCTACCATCATGAATGTATGATATACATATATAAGATATATATGTATAAAATACCAAGGGCTAGATAGCTTTAAAAGCTATACATGCAGAATTTTTCCAAACTACAATATTATGCATTAAAAGTGAGATCAACACAATCAAACAGATTGCATAATCCCTGTTTCATGTTTTTAAGAAAAGATTAGATCATTATCAGACAAAACAGGAATATTATTATTACCAACATTTAAGATATATTATTCTTTCAATAATATTTCCTACTGCAGCAATACAAGTGCAAGCAAAATATTTAGTGATAATTTCTGCATCAAAATTTTCGTTTTTATTAAATACATTTTTTTTAATACATTATGTGAATTCATTCCACTCCCTACAAAGTACAAAGAATCTAATTGGGAAACCATAATACAAACACAAATTTATTCCATAGGACTATTTAATGTTAATGTGTTTATTGCATTTCATATTTCAGAAAATTCAAGTATTTTTATTATATGATTTATAGATCTAATTTGTATCAGCATTTGTTAAATGTCTTTGTAATGTCTGTAAAATCCTTCCTGGGATATTTTAGATGTGTTGAGCTGGACTGTTGGGATGGGAAGGGAGAGGATGAAGAACCTATCATTACACATGGAAAGGCCATGTGTACAGATATCCTGTGCAAGGTAAGAGATCCTATACTAATAGTTTTGTAATTACACACATAGATTAAGTATGTTATATTAAAACAATTTTGGAGCCTCACCACACCACTTCATCCTTTTCACCACATTTAGCCCTCCTTTCTTTGTTTGATTGGCATGCATTTTGAAAATAGCTTTTACGGTATTTCTCATGTCACTACTACTACCTGCTGCTTTCCATGATTTATCAAGTATATGAAGACAATAGTCTCCCAGCTCTTATTTCAACAGACTGATCTCATAAGTCTGTAGGTGCTGCATCTAGTGACTTGACCAGTATAGGCAGGATTATTTACAGTAGGTGTCTGTGACTTGTTGGTGACAAATTCCAACAATAAACATACAGCACACAATCCACTTGTCTTAAAATAATATATTCAAAACAAGTCAAATGTGTATACAAATGTTCATTACACAGTTAAACACCACAGTTGTATTTTCAAATAATCAAGACGAATTATTCTTCTCTACTCTGTTATCACAATACAGTCAGTGATAAATTCACTTATGTTACTCTATGAGTTACCACAGTTGTAACCAGAGCTTTAAAAATTCTTTTTTTACATCAAAAGTCACACAGTATAATTCTGTTATTTTAGAACCCAACTGACAAGACAAATTATTCTTCTCTACTTTGTTATTATAATACAATCTGTTATTATTGCACTTTAAAATTTGCCACTATACACTCTTTGTGGCTAAACTTACAAACACAGTCTAGATGTATTTGACTATATCTCTCACTAGCTTTGTCTTACACTCACTAACTTACTTACTTGCACTAACTTGGTCACCTATATATATATATATATATATGTTGCCCAACTGAGGCCTAGAACTTTGTACAAACTATGAGACTTAAAGCAACAAGAAAAATTCAGAAGGTTTGAGTAACATGACATCAAAATTCACAACAATTGAACTATATGATAAATGATTCATAAACAGTTATGTAAACAAACTTGCCATAATTATTGCCTCTAAAAATAACTTTCTTTAATGCCTGTACAATATAAACTAAGTTATATTCTCATATTAAACTTAAAATGAACAGTCATGTATATCTAATAATGTCTTTGTATGGAATAACATGAATACCCATTTCATTCTCCAACTGCTTCAATTATGCAATGGTTAAATTCATATGTTATGGAAGCAGTTTGTGTACAAGTAACTTGTGTTACTATTCCAACTGGAGATCCTATTTAATTATGTTGCATGCTGTTGTCTAGGGCACATGAACAGATTTTGCTGTTTACCTTTATGTTTGTGGATTCTGACCTGTTAAAAACACTGCAATTTGCTTACCATGGTTAGGGTATGACCTTTTGCAGGTATCTTTCTGGATGGTTCAGGTACCTGGAGTTGACCCATATTCCTTTGTTTTCCAGTCCCATTAAGCACAAGAACATTTTCATCTTAAATTCAAAATCCCGAATCTTAACACATTTTTATATTCTGAATGTATGAATATCTTGCATTGGAAAGGGCTGTTACATATCCTTCTCAAAAGCAAATACATGTTGAAATATATAACTTGTTGATTTGCATATCCAAAATTATTTTAATATAACTTATTTAACCCTCTGTATGCACATATAAATTTTGTAATGAATCTTCATCACACGTCAAAAACATGATTAATTATTGTTTCTTACATAATTCTTGTCATACATTAGACAGCTAAACCTTGAGAGCTAATATATAATACAACTAAATATTCACAGGGTTCAGTCTTGACTCCTAAGAGGTTTGGACTGTAGTGTACACAGACTCTAGTCTTTATCTGATCATCAATTTTTGATTTTCAATTTGTTTTTCTCTGACATTTATTGTTACTTACAAAGAATTGCATAAACTGAATGTTCAATGTCAGCAAGTTTTACAGTAATTGAAAAATCTTTGATTCTTACTGTTTTAGATGTGCTCATATAAATGTCTTTGTGTGTGTGTGTATAAAACCTAGTACTTGTTACGTTCTTGGAACTTTTCATTGTTCTAAGTTATATATATATATATATATATATACACATATACATATATATATATATATGTATATATATATATATACATATATATGCCATTCTCTTATACTGTGATATGTAAATATATATAGTTCCTTCTTCTACAGATTGTGTATCTCATATTTGCAATATTTAAAAGATATTATATAGTTCCAACTGGGAACATGTTAAATCCATTTGTGGTTGTGGGCTAATTCAACACTAGGTGTTATTTTCTGTTTCATGGGACAATTTTAATATACACTGTTTTTGTACTACTGTCACATGGAGCAAAGATACTTCCAAATAGTAGTGTTTAAATTCTGTAGTTGGTCAGATATAGAGAAAATTTAAACTGTAAGAGCAGATTTTTTTTTTTCTCTTGAGAGTCAGGACTTGTTGAGAAGTCTCACCTGTAGAACCATCACTAAGCATGCATGCACATCTGTACTTTTTCATTTTATTCAGGTTAACTCCAAATAATATTTATTTATCTTTTATTAAATACATTTCCCATATAGTTTGTTTTATTTCTCAGTTTTTATCATGGTGCAGTAGTGAGCAATCCCCTTGAACAATCAAGCATTCTTCTGCTTTCTTTCTTTTTTTTGATATAAAGTATTTTTGTTTCAAGTTGACATCATATGTTTTCTCTTACATTCTGCCTGCAACAATCATCATGTGTATCCTACTATATACTAGGTCTGTGAATTTTTTGTATTGCAAAAATGAATTAGTTTATTGTGGGAATACCTCAGTAGCTCAGTATAAGTTCTAGACAAGTTAATAAAGTCATCAAATATACTTGCAATTCAGTATTAATAATAGTTATGTTATATTTCATAAAATTGTTACAGTAGCAGCTGATAACCTTTAAACTTTTTTTTTTTTACATATGTCTTAATAAAGTGGTATGTGATCTCTATTTGTGTTTTATAAATTGTTATGGATTGTTTTTGTATGCATACATGGTTTTTTACATATAGAGGTGAATTAAAATTATCTTTAATGTAATCATGTTTACTTCTAAAACCAAAAGTATTTCCTTTAGAAAAAATTATTGGAAATAATTACAAACTTCTCAGGATATTTTGAAAATCTTCTTACTTTTAATATTCTACATTTTATGAGAACTTAACTAGATCACAGTTTTATGCACATATGCTTCTGAAAATCATTAAATTGAAAAAATATAAAATATAGAACACTTTACCATTGAGTTAAGACAAGTTAATTTAAATATGCATGTTTGAATAACATGACACTGGAACTGTGAAAACTTCTACAGCTGATGATTTCTTTCTAGGATGTTTTCTATGCTATTAGGGACTGTGCTTTTATAACATCTGATTATCCCATCATTCTTTCTTTTGAAAATCATTGCAGGTACGTTGTTCTCTGTTTATAAAACAGTGTAAATTTATTACTTAGGATTATTCTTTATTGTTGTGGTTTAACTATTGAAAACTTTTGTGTAAGTTTCAATAAATAATTTAATATAGGTATAACAAGTGTATATATTTCTTAATAAAAGCTTTAAGTCTATAGAACTAAATTGAAAGTGAAATGTAAAAATATGTGTAGTACATTAAGTATAACGTTTAACACCATAATGAAAATCGAAACATAATTGAAATGTGAAAAAGGTTCAAAGAAGTAGTATAAAATGGTTGCCAAAAAAAAAGGGGGCAAAATTTGTAAAATGAATCAAAATATAAAAATACTTCACAAAAGAATCCAAATTAACTTAGTTAATATGAAAACAGAAAATTAAATAAAAAAAGGATATATAAAATTTAAAAAAGAAAATCAGAAGGAGCACCAGAACTTTTCCAATATTGCATTATTCGTCAAGTCAGATATGGCATACTTTAATATTCAAAGATAATTTGGGAATATTAATAACTGAGATAGGGGCCTTGTAGTCACATATAAGCAGGTACATCATTCACAATGCCTGGTTTTGTTGTGGTTTATTAAGTAAAAGTTTCAGTTTTGAGTGAACTAGTTGTAGCATATCTTCTGAATGTTACTCACATTTGTGGCAAATCAAAGTTGTAATTTTTTTTTGAAAAGTGTAAAAGAGATGTTGATTCTAAGATCAATCATCACAGATGTGTTATATTATTTCTAAGAATCCATAAGGAAATTATATTTCAACCACACTATACCAACCATATCCAGTGCCAGCAAAGCCTTTTGACCTGGATCAGGACTCATTAGACCAGCTTGGATATGTCAGACATAGCAGTGATCTAGGTGTTATACATATCATTAGTTTTTATGAGCAACAACTGTTATGATGTGAACCAGATTATGCAAATGAATTGCAATTAATATCAATTTTGCTTAAGTCAACTACAAATCACACTTTTAGGTTAATAATCAATAACACAACATTATTTATTTTGTTTATAATTTACAACTGATTGTTATTTTTTATGTCTATTATTATTTTTTAATTGAATTAACTTTTATTATCAATGACAAGAACTGGTGAACTAGCACACATAAACACAGTTTCAATTTTAATGTTATAGTTCAAAGAGTGTAGGGCATGTCCAAATGAGTGGATGGCAACAATTATTTTTTTAGATTTTAAAGTCAATACCTGGGATGGAGGAAGCTGTACATTTTAGCTGTACATTGTGTGTTTTTGAATAAATTAGTTATTTCTTCTGTGTTATTTGAGCACTTTGTCAGTCTGAGAATTAACATTCTTTAATGTTTTTGATAAAGACGACCATCTATAGGTTTGTCAGGGCCTGGCATGGCCAAGTGGTTTAGGGCACTTGACTCACTACCTGCTGGTCGTTGGTTCAAATCCCCATCCCATCCAAACATGCTTGCCCTTTCAGCCATGTGGGGCATTATAATGTTATGGTCAATCCCACTATTTGTTGGTAAAAGAGTGGCCCAAGAGTTGGCTGTGGGTGGTGATGACTAGCTGCCTTTCCTCTAGTCTTTCACTGCTAAATTAGGGACAGCTATAGCAGATAGCCCTCGTGTAGTTTTGCGTGAAATTCATAACAAGCAAAAAACTATAGGTTTGTAGTTGGAAGAATCTCTAATTTCTCATCTGTAATTGCAAAATTGAAATTATAAAAATAAACTTCTTTTTCACAAGCCTTCACTCCAACAATGATCAAGCCTACTGATAAAGGTTGCACAATTGTAGCTTGGAAGTGAGAGATATAAACTGAAGAGGAAGGAGTTTTATAAACCTCTCTAGAGTGCTTTACCATGACAAATTCAAACTAAAATAAAACAAACTCCCACCCATTGCATTAAAATTAATTATTGAATATCCAAAAATCCATTCACTGTACATATTACCCAAGGTTAACAATCAAGGATGCTCAGTTGTCTACTTAGATGTATTTGTTCCACTGAGTTAATTTTTATTTTGATAGATAATACATGGAACCTGTGTTTACCAACTTATAACAAAGACTATTGATTCACTAAATATCATACATAAGTTTATACTTTCTCCAGTTCAGTTTTTTGCAGAGGTGATGCTAGGTGCTTAAAAGATTCCGAGTTTAGACCCATAGGCACGGGAATTTTTGGTGTTTCAGTATGATATTGATCATGGTTTTGTATTCTGATTTTAAATACACCAACTGGGAATTTGGGGTACTGTCAAATAGAATTGGAGCACAGGCCCTGTGTGCCTGTGCCTAGTGACTCCTCTGGTTTTCATTGTATTCATTAAGAAGATACAGACACTATGTACTTAAACTTCATGACAAATGCATGTTAACTTTACAACACCTTCTTGATAAAGCCTAATCCCTTATCCGCTGTTTGATCTTTGTACTGTACTGAAAATTTCTGAACTTATCCTGAACTTAAATACTTTTGAATTCAACAGGCAGTTTTACCAACAGATTGAATGGGCTCCCATGGGAACTAAAAAGAGTCCTTTGTTTACCAGCCTTTTTATTGGGTATATCAGATATTCAATGGAAAAAGCCTTGACATTAATAAAATAATTTGCATCACCTCATGCCCTTCTGGCAAGGTTCACAATGTCATCCATTTATCTCAAAACTTTCATCAAGCACCAATTAATTACATTTATAAAATTTTCCTTAAAAGAGCTTCTGTTTTTGAGTTCATTATTATCACTATAGATAATAAAGTTGCAGACAGTTGTTTTTATCCTAATAATAATCATTGTCATCCAAGAGTGACAAATAATGCTATTACTTTTGCACTAATTAAAACTCATCCTCAAAGAAGTACTCAATGATCTGTATGCATATGCTTCTATGGTTTCTTTGACATAAATAATCTAGAGAAATGATATAGTATTTCTACTTCAAACTCTACATCTTCTAAGATTAAATGTAAAATGAGCTATTATCTAATCAGTTATTACATAAATTATTATTATTAGTCTATAGATATGATACAAGAACAGTGATGGTTTTGGTCATTTAGGCCATCCTATCCATTACACTAAACTCAAAAATATAAATAAAATACTCAGATCCAAATATTTATCAAACCTTCCCTTAAACTCTCTTAAATTAACTGCATCTACCATACCTAAAGGCAATACATTCAAAAGGCTAACCACCATTTTAGAAAAATAGATTTGTCTTTGCTGAAAATGATTCCTACAAAACCAAAATTTATACTTGTGTTCTTTAGTTTTACTATTCTCACCATTAAAAGAAAGAAAAAATGATGCATTAATACTATCAATTTTGATCCCTAATAATCTTAAACATATCAATGAAATTCCCTCTAAATCTTCCTTTTTCAAGAGAAAATTATTTCAAAGAGTTTAACAAATGACAACCTTTCCATCCTAGTACCCTCCCCTGAACCCTTTCTGACAATTCAGTATTCTTCATAAGGTAAGGAACCCATGACTGAACACAATATGCCATAATTAGCCTAACCAATGACCTATACAATGACATTTAGACTTGTAATCAATATTTTTGGAGATACAACTTAAAATCCTACTTGCCTAGCCACTAACAACAACACATTGCTTGCATGGTTTAGGACTGATCCCAATAGAAAATGAGGATTGTTTTTTCATAACTTTTAAGATATTTCTATCCAAATTATACTGAAAATTACTTGCATTTATCATAATTAAAAGCCAGAAACTATCCTACTTAAATGTAAACCATCCTTTAAAAAAAAAATTCCCATTGAACTGATCCCACAAATCCAACCAAGCAGCCTGCCCATTCTTACATATTAACTTAAGCCTAGCATTCAGCCCTAGTGACCTAATTATAATTTCTTCCCCACAGTTAAGTCATGGCAGTATCCCTGACAGAATTAAGCTATTATGGTCATTTTTTAATGCCTTGTACTAAACAATTAGTTTATCTGACCTACCCTTCCCTACATCATTAGCTCTTATGTGCACTACAAAGAGGGCAATGTTGCTAGTACCCTTTACCATATTACTTACCCTGTCAATTAAATCCTCTACCTCTGCCATTAGTTAGCATAATCTTATTCTTTTCTTCCTATTTACCCTACAGACTATCCTATTCACGTGCTGTTCTAAAGAATCACCTGTATCTATAACCTTCTCATGTTTTTCATTCCAATCTGTCTCTTTTGTTATCCTTCCCTCCCCTAATTCCACATCTGCACAAGCTAAAGGATGAAATCTGTTACTTGATAAAATCTGCTCATTATTATTAAATCCTTTACTACTAGCCCTGCAAGTACTGTTTTTACTTTCCTGAAAGTTACTGTTAGCTACTGTATCTTTTGCATGCGAAAACTTAAGTTCCTTTTTAAATCATGCTGCCAAATCTCACAGTTTACCGATATTTCAAGATGTTGATATATAATGTTTCAATGACGTTCCTTACTGATATTTTTTTACTTGATTACAAACACCCTTAATGTTATTTTATAGGATGTCTAGTTTTCCTTTTGGAATACTTTGTAGATTTATTGGTAAAAACTCAGTGAAAGGCTTTTGTTCCAAAAATCATTTAATCGAACAAGAATAAAGAGCCTGATTTTGGTTTTATTAGTTTTTTTGTTTTAATGCATGTGACAGACATTTGTGATTTACACCATTAGTTGTGTTTATGATCAAATGTTATACATTAGAGAAACCTCTAACTGTTTCAGAAAACATGAAACATAAAATAACAAAACATTCATCTTATATCAACAAAATTTTAAATATGACATTAAAGAAAATCCACTGAGAAAGATTTCATGAGTTCTTTTTGTGCTCAGTTTGCAAATTTAATTACATAATTCTAACCTTTTAAGGACCACTACCTGTATTTGTACTGTTTAAGTAAAATAGTACTGGCTCCAACAGTAACTTATGGAATATGATTACCTTTAAAAGTTTGGGATATATTTGTTTTTAAGATTTTTTGTTTTATTTATATTGTTATAATTCATCTTGACTCATGCTAGGTTGTGAATTAAAGAGTTTGAGATGTGATGCTTCAGAATATGCTCCACACTTTAAGCACATTATAAAAGTGGCAGTCAGCTCCATTATTCAATTCATTTAGCTGGACAAAGCCTCTGGGGCAACTTGTGCTGCTGAACGATGGTCCTACCTTTGGTTTAAAATTAGAGGGGGCTACATTAGAATCCCAGCAGTCTGACAACTGGCTCATGAGTTGCATAAAGTGCCATTCACATTAACTTTATCCAATCATTTTATTTTGTTTTTGTGGATTACTTGTCACACTCAAGCAAGTGAGTCTTTGTAAAAAAAAAATATAAAAAATGTTGACACAAAAGTGATTTTTATTTTAATTTGGAATTAATATTACACTTCTAATGAGACACATTTCACATGCAACTACAAGCCATTTACAAAGATTTCATGAAGACTATTGATGTAGTTTCACGTTTCACACATCTTCACAGGGAGAAATGAGATAGCTTGTAAATGATTTCTCTGCTTTAGGTTTAATATTTTTTTCAATAATTTTATCAGTTAAAGTCTTTCTTTTTAAATTTAATTAAATTCTTAATTAAAATTTGAAAGTAAACTACCAAAGGCTTTTCCTGTATTTTGTTTTTCTTTTTTTAAAGTAAATCCCAACAGTACAAGCTAGCCAAGTACTGTGATGAGATTCTTGGTGATCTCTTAATGAAAGAACCACTGCCAGAGTTTCCTGTAAGTTTCACAAATATGTTACATCACTTATTCAGTAAGTAAAGATGCAAAATATAAATTTTAGCTAATAGAAGATTATGAGTTGAGTTACAGTATTAATTTATGTTATTGTAAAATTTATTTTATATTGACTCTAAGTATTAAAGACTAAAAGCCATTTACATAAAAAGAAGAGTAAGAAACATTCTAGAATATTTTAAAACTTGAACAGTGTTCATATAATTTTATCATAACTTAATAGCTGTTTATTCCCTAACAATTAAGATTTATATCTTGACAGATTACACATTATGGTGATACAGTAAAAATATTTCTAACTGTAATAATGTTTACATTAACTTCACTCTTTATTCATATCTTCTATGTTGTTGTTTATTTATAATGAGTGTTTGTAGAATTTTATAAATTGTGATTGTAGTTAGAACCAGGGGTTCCCCTTCCAAGTCCTAATGATCTGAAGAGAAAGATCCTCATTAAAAACAAGAGACTTAAACCTGAAGTTGAGAAACGCAAGTATTTTATTCAACATACTTTGTTTGCCTTAACTTGAGAAACTGAAGTATTTAATTCAACATAATGTATTCCCCTTAATATGAGATATATATGTTATATAAGATATTCTGTTCCCTTAACTAGAGAAAAATATTTTATTAAACATACTGTGTTCCTGTTAACTTGAGAAATGTAAGTATTTTATTCGACATACCTTGCTACTCTTAATTCACTTTAACTTGAGAAACGTATTTTACATCACAGTGTCTCATAGTTTGTAGAAAGTTCGAGGCCTCAATTGGATAATATATATATATAAAAGCAACCAAGTGAGTGCGAGTCAAGTGAAGTTAAGAAGATAGAAAAAAGTTAGTTAGTGAAATAAAAAGTGAAGTTAGTTGGCATGTGAGTGATTAGCCTTAACAATTGATTTCTATAGTGTATTTCACAGCTGTATTGTAACAACAGAGATAGGAAAAATAATTTATCTTGTCAATTGGGTTCTAAAGTAATTGAACCAGCCTGTGTGGACTTTTCATGTAAAGGAGACAGTTATTTAATGCTCTTGATACAACTGTGGTAGCAAAAAAAAAGGAAGTCAGAAAAAGTTAAGTTAGTGAACGTGAAGTTAGACTGCATGATTGTTAGTTTAGCTGTAACAGGTGATATTTTAAAGTTTCACAATTTAACAGAAATATGGAAAATAATTTGTCTTGTCAAAGGGTGTTCTAAGGCAATTGAACCCATATGTGTAGACTTTGACAAAAAGGAGACAATTATTCAAAGTTCTGGATGCAAATGTAGTAACCCATGGGGTAAAGTAAGTGAATTTATCACAGATTGTATAGTAATTAACAGAATAGAGAAAAATAATTCATCTTGTTTTAGATACAACTGTGATATCCTATAATGTAAAGAATTTTTTACATAAGTTTGACTTGTTTTGAATATATTATTTTAAAATAAGTGGATTGTGTGCAGTCTGTTTATTGTTCGAATTTAACACCAACAAGTCACAGACACCTACTGTAGAAGAATCCCAGCTCGTATATACAAAACCCTGACAAACATACCAGTCTTTTATGTACCTTCATTTTTGCAACATTTCAGAACATGTGCTGATCATGTGACTAGCCTCCACCAATCATACTGTGCCATCTATACTAGCACATGTAGCTCTCTCTACTATTCTAGCACAATCCTCACTTTCTCGATTGGCATTTTATTGTATAGACATGGTTTTTAACTTGCTCTCCTTGTCACTACAACGATTTAGTTATGCTTGATCACTAATTTATATTAGTTTCTACTTCAAGTTTCGACATTTTGTGTTTGATTTCCATTGTTTCTACTCATTTGTTTTAGAAATATTTCTGTTTTTCAAATTCTAATTTGTTCATATGAATTCGAGATTTAATATGGCAGATTATGAATTTCCCGCGATAGTAGACAATGGTTTTGACGCGAGTCTCCAGGTCTCAGGATTGACAATATCTGCTGGGGAAGCACAGGCTTTAGTTTGTTGGGAGTTTGTGTTTTACGTTCAGCTAACAATTTCTTCCTTTCATATTACAAATATTTTGTGAGGAAGGATATAACTACTGAGTGGAAATTTCTTTCTATGGCACTTTCCACCTTTTACCGTGCCTCCATATAATCTGCTGGGTTAGGTATTGTTCTTTTTCCCAGGAGATTTGTGGTAAGTTTTTCAGTCAGCGTGTATGCTTCACTCCCAGTTTGTACACCTATGTTTAGCAAGTTTATATGTGAGCCTGTGTGGATAGATCTAATTTCCGCATGTGATAATTTAGATTGTTTGATCATTTTTGTCTATTTCACCTGTTGCTCATTATAGGGCTGCCCTGTCAAACACCCTCCATTCTCCCACTTCCAGAAAGCCTTATCCTCCCCAGTTATTTCTTTCCTTTTCCATTCCTTTCATCTGGTCTGTCCACCTTGTCTCTTTGTTCTGCCGAATTGGGATCTCAATGTTATCCTTCACACCCTGTCTGGTTCTCCCTTTAAAACCATTGCAATGTGTTCCTTGTACCATCTTTCCCTTCACACCTATTTCCTCCTCTTCCTGGCATGCAATCATCATTCTTATATTTATGCCCATAATGTTTCCAGCATTCCTTACCATTCCTCATATGTTGTCCTGTATCTGGATCGGGCCTTCCTTCCTGGGACATCGGCTGCCTGGGAAGATTGTTTAGCCTTTTCTCTTATTTCCTTTCCTTCCATTTTCCACCTGTATTCCCATCTGAATCCTGATTGACTGCTTTGTTCAGTTCATTCCCTGTTATCTTGCATGGCTCGAACTGCCTCCTTTCATGGTTCTCATTCCAGTCTATTTGTTCCATAGAATTCCTCTCTTTCTGATGATCTATCACCTATTACGCTCACTGGTTGGGTTCGTCAACTCATACGACTCATGTATTCTGACTTGTGTATGGAAGATCACCATCTACATAATGTTTCTTTGTACCAAGTTTGTCATTTCACTATGTCTTTAGCTGCTTGAAACTGCCATCCTTTGGAGGAGATCATTCAGGCTGGTATGTAGACAACTCCCAATACATTTGTTACACATTATCCTCATGTCCTATCTGTGTCTTCCTCAAGTAGGTAATATCTTCCACCTATGGCGATTCTACACATTACTGTTTCCCTTTACTGGAATAAGTTAACATATTATTTTTCATCTTATTCAGTTGATATACATCATATTTCTAGATCCCACCTGGTGGCAGGTATGCTTAATATTATATTCCCACTAAATCTGTATACTTCTATAATGCTCACTGTTGAGATGGGGTGTTTCTGTAAGACCACCAGCTGCTTATCTGGTGGTATGTGTGTGTGTATATATATATATATATATATATTTTATTATTATCACTGTTTCATATATAAAGGACTGTCACTCATGGACTTCATGAGTTAAGCAAATGGGAATTTTTGCCCATCCATACTGACCCTTGATTCTTCAGGGTCTTTCTGCTTTTCAAAATAGGGAATTGCAGACACCCATTGCACTGTCTTTAGTTTGTCATTTCTTCAGACTCCCCAACTTGTATTCCTTCCTTTCTTCTAGTGGAGCATGGGAGTCCTTGTCAGTTTCGGATTCCAGTCACTGGATTGGTGAACCATGGAGGTTTTCTCCTGAGTGGAGTTTGTATGATAAACTAAATCAAACTTCATAGGTTATGTGTACCCACTTAGTGAGAAGAGGGCTACTTATTGATTATGCAATGACATGATATTCTGGATCCAAGGTACTTCCCCCAGATGTTTTTGCTTGGGCTGACCACATTTGTTTATCATTAAATAATTTTTTTATACAAGGTGCTTCCACTGGATAGACTGCACTTGACATAATCCAACATATCCCAAGGTGCTTCCCTGGATACTTTTGCCTGGGCGGACTTCACTTGTTTATCTTTGTATCTTACGCAAGGTGCTTCCACTGGATATTTTCTACTCAGATGGATCTCACTTGGCATAATACGACATATCCCAAGGTGCTTCCCATGGATGTTTTATACCTGGGCAGACTGCACTTGGCCTATTCATATACAATTTATGGCCCTTTAGCCCCAGCCATGTATACTTATATCAAATTATCAGGCACTTTACTATAACTAACTGTTACTATGTCTTATGTTAATGCTTGCTACATATGTGTATGAATTATGCACTATCTGTTGACTGGGCTGATTCTAAATTACCTGACACTTTCTTGTCAAACTACTTACTCAAGGCACTTCCCTTGGATTTTTTTTTTATGGTGTGGTTTTCTCTTTTTGCTCACAATATTGTAGTCAAGGCATTTCCACTGGATGCTTTGCCTGCTTTGACAGCAATTGACATGCTCTGGTGTGCCCCAAGACTCTACTTTTGGCACATATTTATTGGTGCCTGTTGTCGATTATACACTAGACATTCTGTTTTTGTCCATGCTGTGCTGTTTCGTGTCATAATTATACAACCCTTTTCCAATGAACAGTGCTGTACATCTCTTTCTTGAAGCTATGGTGCTTGCTTATTACATTCTGCCCTATATGTATTACTGTGTTCGTTACTAGGCGAAGAGCATACCTGTTCCAGAAGTATTGCTATACCCCATGGGTATGCCTTCTTTTCTTATTATGCCACACCCGTTCTTTCAAGGCGGTTGCTCTCCACTTGATTGAATACTGTCACTCCTTCACCAGCCCCTCCCCCCTTTGCAATGTGGGATTCTAGGAATATGGGAGAAGAGGTAGTACCATTTCAGAAGTTAATATTTTCTAACAGTGAAAATGTATTTCCGATAGGTACTTACCTGCACTCACCCACTTCCAACCCTTCCTCACCACTGATATGCTGGTATTTCTAGTTTGTACCTTCCAATTCTCGAACTTGAGGATTGTGTTAGAATAGTAGAGAGAGCTACCTGCACTAGTATAGATGGCACAGTATGATTGGTGGAGGGTAGTCACATAATCAGCACATGTTCTGAAATGGTGAAAAAATGAAGGAGTATAAAAGACTGGTGCACTGTTAGCGATAACATTTTTAGCAATGCTTAGAGAGCAAACCAAGATTGAGATAGTTCTGGGTGAGAGGATGTAAGTACCTATCGGAAATACATTTTCAGTGTAAGAAAATCTTAACTTTTATTCAACATATTGTGTTCTCCTTCACTCGAGAAACATGAAAAATTTTTTTCAACTCACATCAAGAGAAACATATTTTATTTAACATATTATGCTCCTCTTAACTCGAGAAACATGAGCATTTTATTCAACATATTATGTTCCTGTTAACTTATTTAGAAATTCATAGTTTAATTTATTCTAGTATCATCATGCATGTAATAACATGCTAAGCATTCTGTAAAAAAAATGTTTCCTTAAAAACAATTGACAAAATTTGTATAAGTTTATTGTTGATTTGTATTAGCCAGTCCATATTCTATTATCATACAGTATGCTTTGATAAATATCTATTAACTTTCATATATATACATATTCATATTAATCAAAGTTGTAACTCATTTTGGTGTGTCCAGCTTCATACTAAGAACCTGGACAAAGTCATCAATATTTAACTATGCCTTATAGTAACTGCTCATACTAAGACGGTGAGACAACCTGGACAACTCTTGGACTTTACATATTGTCACACACATAAGTTTTCTGAAAAAAAATAATTAATTCACATTTAGAAACATTTTTGTCATCATATGTAAATACTTAGGTTTCCTCATGCTCAAATATATCAAATTAAAGCACAAAAACTGTTATAAATCATGAATTAAAACACTTTTTTTTAATATAAAGGACCATGTATATATTTTTTATTGTTGAGTATCAACTTAGTAGACCATTTATAAATTTTGAAATTAGAAATACTTTGACAAACATTTGTATTATTATTAATAACATTATACATCTCATACATAATAATTCTGCATCCATATTAACATGCTTAGAAATTATTAAGATGAAAACTAATGTTTCCCCTTTTATATTGGGCCAAGTGCTGCCCAATGTGTAACATGCTGGACTGCTCTACAATTTAGGACCATGGATGTGTTATAATAATGCTGGTCAAATTCAACTTTTTGATCTGACAAGAGTAGCTCAAGAATTTATAGTTGATGGTGTTTACTAGCTTCATTCCTTTTAAATGTATCACTTCAAAATTAGGAATGGTTAGTGCAAATAACCCTCAAGTAGCTTTGTGCTAAATTTAACAAACAAACCTTTCATATTATTTTTATAGTTACAAGATTCTTGACTAATTATTTATATCATCTTCTAAGGTATGTCATTTTTTTCCTAGAGTTCTTTATTCTATCTGTGTATAAAAAATTTTTATCAAAGTTTATGATAAAAATAAACTAAATGGTTTTGAAAAGGTTAAGTGTAACCCACAAGTCTATGGCCTATATTTCAAATGCATAAAGAAGAAACAATATGGAGGCTGCAGGAAGTTGATTAAAAAAGATGAAATAAAAATAATTCCGAAAAAATATATAACATGACACTACATATCATGGTGAGAGTTTGGACATCGTAATTATATGATCTCACTTATGAAAGTGTATATAATGTTTAATATGGCTCTGTACTGTAACTTTAACATTTTATTTAGTCAGTCAGTTAGTAAAAACTTATATTTCAGGGGAACTGGAATTATGGAGAAAGGGGCAGTTAGACAATGATGATGAGGAAGAAAAAGAGGATGCATCAGTGAATGTTGAAAATCCTACCACAAAACCAGAAGAGAAAGTTGAGGGTATCTTGTTTATTAATATATCTATGAGTTTTTACAGTTGGCAACAGTTATCTTCAAGCAGACTAGGCATTTATTAGGCCAGATCTTCAATACTAAATTAGTTTGTAAGGTAAATATTAGTGATTATACAAGTCAGTGAGATATAATTTATGGTGTACGTATTAATGATCAATATGAAAGTCTTATGGCTAGTAGGCTTAAGTTATTTTTGATCTAAAATTTTAGACATGGTTATTTCAACTTTTTTAGAATAAGATAGTAATACCAAAATTGAATTTCTGATTAAATAACTTTATTGTTTTTAAACTAATTTTAATATGTAACCTAGATTTTCAACTACATACTCACTTAGTTGAATTTTATTTTTTTCAGAAAAGAAGGTAAGATTCTCCCACTGTTATCATTAAACCTGAATATCTGAACCAGACAAGGATTTGACACCTAAACTTTATGACTTGAATTCTTTCTGTGCTATTTTTATGTTTGATTTTAAAATGGTATGGATGAATGTTTTGAATTTCTATGCTTAGTTTTATAATTAGATTCAGTATTTTAATTGTTTGCAGGTCTCAAGAGATTAAATTATTTGCTGCCTTGAAACATAAAGTCAGAATATGATATATATAATTCACTGTAGTATATTTTATTTGTATTAAATACTAGGGTTAAATTATTTCTTGTTGAAAAATGCAACTAAGTAACCTGTCTCTAATCTTATAATCTTAGTCCAGGTATTCATTAAAGTATCTCAGATTTTAAAGAAGTTTTTCCTATAATTTCTGTAGGGAATTTACTTCTTTGTCACTCTATTTTAAGAAAATATGTTAACTAATGATAAATGATTTTGAACCAATAAAATAACAAAGGATACTCTGTTTGCTTTACTTTCTTTATCAAGGATAAAGTTAACTTGATGATTATGTTTCAGGGTTTAGAAGTACAAAATATTAAATGAATTAAAATGTTTATTTCATAATATAACCTTTTTAGCCAGATTTAATTATAATTTCAAAATAAATGTATAAATAGCCTACCTCTTTGTGTCTTAGTGGTAAATCTGAGGGTTTATAATGTTAAAAAAGCAAATTTTAGTATTTACATTGACCACAACATAGATAACCCATTGTGTAACTTTGTGCTTAATAACAAAAATAAATGAATAAGCCCAGTTAGTCACATAGAATTTTAGTTTAATAAGCTTTGGTCTTAGTACTATATAACTCCTAAACTAAGTTTATTGTACACCTAGATTAGGAACTAGATAAATTTAATGATTTATGTGTTTGACTGTTTTTAAGTATAAATATGTAAGTGCACATAACTTAAAAATACAGAAGTTTAAAATTTTAATTACATGAGTAGGAATTTATGTTTTCATAATTTATAATTATTATTATTATTATAAAGTACTATTAAATGATTACGTTGATTGTTTATTTTTACAAAATGTCTTGAATTTACTGAAGAAATATTTTTTTATGGAATTGTAGAGGTGATACTTTTCACTTAATCCCTTTGCTACTTTGTCACAAAAAACGTTTGTTATAGAGAATTTACTTAATCATTTTATTTTACATGATATATTCATATTTTTAGGAAGTACTCCTCCTGAATTTATTGTCAAATCTAATTTTTACAAATGTTATATATCTCTTTGATAACTTTTCTCAGTCAGTTAGGTAGAAAGATTGATTAATTAGCTTAATTTTTGTATTTAGTTGTTTACTTACATTGTTTTAGTTTGTCCAGTTACTTGTATATTTCTAGTTTAACTTCTTAAAGAATGCCATGATCTTTTCGTTTCATAAATAAACAGATGAATATATTGATAGTTCTATAAATGGAAGACATTCAAATGATGAATTCATGTGTCCAAACCTTTGCAACAAAAGCTTTTTCTTATTTATACAACTTCTTATAATCAGTTATTTGTGTAATGTACTATTATACTCATCTAGATGAACTTTTTGATTCTGATGTTAGCTTTTATTCATCTAAAAAAAGAAAACAACCTCAATTCAACTACTACTTTATCAATAAAATTCTTTGACAAAAACAATGTAAACACATGAATGAAAATATATAATAATATTTTCATCTTCAGCACAGAATAATAGATGAATTTCCAATTCTTACTTCATAATCAATCTTGCAGGGAAAAATAACCAACTATATTGTATATCAAAATGCTATTATTCAATGCAATGTTATAAAAGTAAAATTTATGTATTCAGTAATACTAAGTGTCTATTTAAGTTTCAAAGCAATAAAGTAATAAACTATTTTCTGAAATTATTCAAGCATATCTAGTAATTGTCATTTTTATAGTTTAACCTTTTCACTGTGTAATTAGGTTTTATGGTCAGTCCCCAGTCAATGTCATTTCTCCATCAAAAGCGTTGTAAATTAGTAGCATATTTCACTGTATTATATATTATAATATATATAAGACACATATAACATACCCTGACATTATGATGTCAAAAACTTACCTAAATCATGGTGAATTCATAGAGAAAATACGACAATCAGCTGATATCTCTGTGCATGGGTGCCTCACATCATCTGCCGGCTGGGATCCCAGCTGAGGGATTGTTTATACTTGTAATTCACACTCATGTTCCCTGATGTCAACACACCCAGTGTCTGGTGGTTGACTGAAGCCCATGGAGGGTTGTCACTTTCTGCCATAGAGGGAAAGGTTTTTTTTGACAGCCATAGAGAAAAGTCAGTCTCTGCTGTTAATGACAATTAATTGTCCATTGACTATAGTCAGTTTCTGCTGTGAAAAGGTTAAGGAAATATTGAAGTTTGGAGTTCTTGTCTGAAAGTGGGCTTTAAAAACTATGTATAAAGTGAATGAGAAATTCCCATGTAAAAGTGCTTTTTAAGAGCCATGCACTGGGTCACTGAACTGTGATATACCTAGAAAATAAATATATGTTTAAGTATGAGGTTTAATTTAAGAAGCATTGTTTTACAATTGTATTTCTTCTTTAATTTTTCTGTTGGGAACCTGTTTTTCTGGCTTGTAAATAATCATGCAACACTCATTATCCAGGAAGTGAGTGAAGAACAAGATGCCATGGCAAATTACCAATATACAGGTGCAACCACACATGTTCATCCTTACTTGTCATCTATGATTAACTATGCAGAACCTATCAAGTTCCAGGGGTTTGATGTTGCTGAAGGTTAGAGAAATTATCTGTAAAATGATAAAAATTACAATATAGATATTTGTTTAATATATATAGAATAAAATAAAGTTTTGAAAACTTTATGTTATATTATCAGAATAATAACATTCTTGAAGTTATATTTATTACAGAAAATGGCAAAATTCTAAAGTGCTAATGTCTTAAATTTTTTTCTTCTTGAGGCTTTGTTTGCTATAGTGAAATATGGTCAGGAAAAACTACTTTGAAGTATGCCTCACACCCCCACCAAAAAAAAAGCAAATAAAATGATTTTACTGGAAGATCAAATTAAGGATTTTTTTTTCATAGAACAGAATTAAATTATCCCTGTTTGATAAAATTTGAAGTATATTTAGTATTATGGGTTTTAATATCACTCATGGATTACTGATTACAGTGAATATTAAAGTATGTGAGAGAAAAACCTTCTTTGAAGGGTTTTGATCTCTTCCTTTTGTCTGTCATATAAATGAAGAAAAGTAGTGATAGTTGTCTATGGTTTACATGTTAACTTTATAATGTCCTAAATTTTCATTTTTCAGGGTTTTTCAAAAAACTTTTGTTGCAGAGAATGTTTGTCATATAATTATGCTGCAAAATTAAGAAAACAAAGAGATAAATTAGACAAATATTGATATTTGTCTAATTCATGATCACAGTAAACTAGTTGTATGGGATTTAAATGGCATGAAAAATTATTCTCAGTACAATATTTGTTCGAGATGGATACATCACTGAAACAATATTGTATTAACAAGGAAAGGCTAGGTCTTAAGTGGATTAGGCTGGGTTTATTGCTTTGTACTTGCTTATATAATGTCATGTTCTTGTTATGCAACATACAAAAGTCACTAAATATTACATACTTTTGTAAATATGTGAGTATATATATATGAGGAGATGTGTTTGTGTTGTTACAACTCGTAATAACATTCAGTGTTTGCAAATTACATAAAATAATACTGCAAATTGTGTTTTTAAAACTATTTTATTTTTCTAGAGAAGAACATTCACTGGAATATGTCATCTTTTGCTGAAACTGCAGCTCTTGGATACTTAAAGTCTCAAGCTATTGAGTTTGTCAAGTATCCTTTAGTTTTTTATTTTTGTTTACCTTTTGTGAATTGAAACCATGAGTATGCTATTATTTCAAAAGAAATGATGACCAGATTTCCTTGAAAAATATTTTAATGTATTTTAGATTAAGAAAATAGCTTTGTTTTGAAACATACAAATCATGTTGTTTGTTTCCATCTAGAACATACATGCAGAGGTTGTAAATTTTTTAAAGTAGTGAAGTACTTATGTAAATTTTTAGGCAACAACTTGATAGATGATGGCATCTGTAAAAACCACAAAATCGTGCTAATTTTTGTAACAGTCTTCTCACAAGCCAATTGGGGACATTTTTGTTGAAAAAAAAATTATCCAATCCTGTTTTTCTTAATTTGAACTGAAATTTTTTGGACATTTTTATTGGCTAAAAAGAAGGCAATGTTACCAACGTTACAATTGTCTTACAAAAAAGGTTTCAATAAATACTAAAATGAACTCTATTGTATTCTGAATCTGTAAAGAGTTTGTAAAAACTTTGTTAGTGTGAAAAATAGTTTAATTCAGATAAAGGCTATTATAGTTTTTTATCTTAAAAGTTTCTTTTAACTTATAACCATTGTAATTTTGTAAAATGAGGATGCAGAAATTGTGATTGTTAATTGATGTAAAATCCAAGGTGTTTATGCCTCATTTGGTTTTAACTTAAAAATTAATATTTGTGTGTATGTTGAAATGGCTATAGAAAGGAGAAAGTCCTTAATTGTTAATTCAGCTACAACAAGAGACAGTTAAGTAGAATTTATCCTAAAGGAACTAGAGCTGATTCCAGCAATTTTATGCCTCAGGTAAAGTGTAGATAATTTTTTTTAATGCATCAGTCACTGGTATTTCTGATATATGAAACTATATAATATAAAGATAACACAAATCTCATTTTTCTATAGTACAAATTTCATACATGCAAAATTTTTAAATATTTCGAAAAGTTCAGACTCGGGATGTGTTAAATCCAGTCAATGTCATTTGATAATTCAACCCTAGGTGTCATTTGTTTGACCATAATTTGGCCAAGGAGACTATCTACTCTTTTTTGGGGGATAATTTACTGTATCCTAAATCACCTTGTCACACGCAGAAGAAATGCTCTTGGATACTAGTGATTCTTTTTTTGTGTGTTTGGTCAGCTACAGTAAGGATGTGGATCACAATAACTGTTTTGGCATTTTTGGTTAATTTGTTTCAAGAGCAAAAACTTGTCTGTGAAGTCTTGCAGACATTTTCTGTGATTTTCAGGCTGATGGTTGGTTGTGTGAATTTTCTTTTTTGATCATGATGAAACAAAGGTGAAAATGGGGGACATTTGGCTTAACCTAAAGTGTATGAGTAGGGGTCAGAGTGCACATGCCACATCCTTTTATAGAATACCTTTCAACATGGTATTATGTATTTGATATTAGAGTTATCCACTATATATTTTGCCGTATATTGCCAGTTTAGTGACAGTTCATGGTAGAGAAAAGTAAGTACCATATACAGTATATGGAGATACTGAAAAATTTGCAGATATGCATTTTAGAGGTCATAGAGGCTATGTGAATGCAACATGCAAACTGTACAATAGAAAATATATTTATTCTTCACATGAACATCACCTTGCACTTTGTCTTGTCAAACTGTTTTCAATTCACACACACACATCTCGAGTACAAATACTTTTGAAACAAATCTGAATTTTTGTTCACAACAAACTTGTAAAATTTCCTGAAAACTTGCCACATTTTGTGTAGATGCAAATAGTAAATTCAGAATTGTAGCCAACATTATTTCTCCAATACAGGGTCCATCCAATGGATCAACCTTATACAAGTTTGGTTAAATACATAGCAGAACATTACAGAATCTGAATCATCCAATTAAGTTACAGTATGACCTACTAATCACAATCCACATCAAAACTCCATACCAAACATCTTATATACAAAGTTCAGCCAGTTATTATACTGATTTAAAAAGAGAGGATTTCTGAAACATCTTAATTTAATTTGAGACCCTTTCAATAAAGTTTTACTATCTGTAAGGCAATTGTTAATAATTTTCACATTTATTTTATCATGAATACACTGTTTAAATCATTGGTTAAAGAACCACCAATCATTCTGATCAAGACAAACTTTGGATGCGTCTACCAGAATTTAGTTATGATGGAAGTGGTATTCTATTAGTAACTTTGACTCGTCCAAAGTAGGGGGGACTCCTTTGACTCCTCTAAATTTATTGCAGGAAGTAGAAGTGACATACTCATCAGAGGATCTTAATCTCAAAGGATCCCTGTTGAACACAAAATGCCCCCAGCACTTTAGTAAGTGTTTTAGAGATCTCTACTCATTATAATTGGCTGAGACCTTAGGTGCCAGTGGAAAGCTGTCATGATGTGTAACTGATAGCCAAACTGAGACTTCTTGGATCAATAAGTACTGTGAGTAATTTCTCATGAGACTCGTTACTGGGTGGACCCTTCAATTACTTTGACAAATTTGCTTTGATGGGCATATTATTCTCAACAACCAAACCCTGCCCACTGTCAGGTTCTGTGGTTACCATCCCATTATGAGAAAAGTGTTTATGCCATCTCCAATGTGAACCTTGTATTCAAACAGCCTTGAGCAGTGATGCCATTGCCATGTTGGTGAGAGGAAATTCATTGTTCATCACCATAAGATGCCTGTATTGACACTGGCTCTACAACCATTTGTAAGAAATAACATCAATGCAGAATGTTTGCCCTTGCTACGGCCATCTCCATCTTTCAGACACTCAGCGAAGGGAGACCTAGATCACTTTTGTAAGTGGTTTTGCCGAGTCACTTGAAATTTCTACACTCCGATTCAAATAATGCATTGTTTATTGCTTAATTTGTATAACTGGTATACTTATTGCTTTGGAGTGCTTAGAACTCAGTCAGTTATACAGCTGGAAAGCAATAGCAGCAAAGTTTTATCATTGCTTTGACAAGGTATAAAATAGAGCCATCTACATGGCAGAACTTAAGGCTTGTAAATGTAGTGCCCTTGAAAACTTAGCAGCATATGCCAGTATACTTTGGAACACTGTTAAGCATACTTCATCATGATGGCAGCCAATCTAAAAGATATCCTATTCAGCATGTTTGTGGAGGGATATACTGGACATTTAATTTTACAATAGTGGCTCCTTTCATTAGATGGTCTACGTTTTTCTTAGATGCTCCTCATCTTTCACTTGAAAAGTGGTGTTTTAATCTTCACATTGAATCCTATATCTTTCATTCCACCTTTGACAAAACACTAAACTTGCCCTTCCTACTACAAACTTCTCAATGTTGCAAAAATAAGGTAATCGTGTGCTTGGTCTATCCCCATATCCTCTATAATTTACTATACAATGCACAAAAAGTAGCATGTGACATTATGAATCAAGATGGAGCAGGGCTGTTTTACCAGTATATTTTATTAAAGCAGTGACTGTCTGATTATAATTCTTGTGATCAAGTCACATGATGCTTTTTTTTTATACTGTGGGAGGTGGTTAGTAATATAGAAAGTGTCCACACAAATAGTCCATACTCAGTTCTTGTTGCTACGAGGTGCATTCACAATGAGTGTGTCTTCTAGGCTGGTGCATTGTTGATCTGTTTACTTGGAGGGTATTATGTGTTTTAATTTCAAATTCTAATATCATTGTTATTATTTGTTTGAAGCTTTTAGGAATATTATTTTCTTATTATTTCCACTGTGTTTACTGTATTATCATGTTGTTTCCATTGTGTGTGTGTGGGGGGGGGGGCTGTATGGCTTAATTGTTACATGGTAATGTTGTATATGTGGAGCATTACCTTTTGATGCATGTCTAGCCATTTGAGATCATACAACTGTTGGTCAGATAGTTAATTTGCACAGCAATGAACAGATAAGGATGATTAACAATATTTTATAGATGTAGTTTTGCACTTATTAGAGTTATAAGAACAGAAATTTTATGAAGAAAAAACTGAAAACTCAAATATTCAGAATGCTTAATATTAATTTGACTTAGGCTGATATGAGATAACAGTTAGAATTTGTTGTGCCATTAAGTGCAAATGCAAACAATTTTGAAGATTTTGGTGAACAATAAAGCTTCACCTTTTTAACCTAAAAGGTTGCTTGTTGTTAAGCGCAAAGTTACATAATGGTCTATTTGTGCTCTGCCTGCTTTGTGTATCAAAACCCAATTTTAAGCATTACAGGCTCCTCAGACTTACTGCTGAGTCACTTGGGAGCAACTACAAGAGAAAGAAACATTTAGTATATTTCACATATAATATTTCTCTTTACTTTTAGGCTAGGCCATCTTTAACTTTAAATGAAATCATAACAAAAAAGTAACAAGCAGTTTATCTACAGTAACTTATCCTTGCAGTGAACAAACATGCTCCACAGTATAAGTAAACAAATCAAATCCTTAATACTGACAAAGTTTCAAACAAAATACATCTCAAGTATATCATTTACAATGATTTACATAATAATCCAAAATGTACTACATGACAAACACCAATTAACAACAACAAATAAAATGTTACAGTACAAGAATATAATACAACAGAGAAATGCCCTTTAACATAGAAAAACATAATCATGTGAAAATGGGCCGAATAAAATAAATTAACTCATGTATGCAGATGATCAATTAGTGTATAATCTGTTCTTTTGAAGGTGAACATGTGTTACTTGTTTAACATTACCTAAATTTTATATTTTAAAACACAGCAGCAAAATTATCAGGAAGATAATATTTGACTAAAAAATAATACCTAAATTAAAATAGAAAAAAAAACACTTTGTAGATTTCAAGTACTGCAGTTATCCTATTTCAAAATGTTTTTGTTTATATGTTATATGTAAGAAAGTATAGTTTTATACTTATCAGTCTACAGGAAACAAAGAAAGAAACTAGATTAACATACCACATGCTTCCTACATGAAATTTTAAAAATAAGGAACAGAAAATTGTTTTACTCAAAACTTATTTATAATTTAGAAAAAAAAAATTTGTTTTTTAAAATTCATACACTCTGGAAATAAAAATGAAATGAACATACAACATGACATTTTACAAACAACAACTAGAAAATAGTCTATATTTTAAAAAATCAATTCTCTGAAAAAATAAACAAGCTTTTAATACTTGATGATGAAAAATCCACTTTTTAGAAGATAAAAGATTGGAGACAATTTGAATGAGTAATGAAGAAATATTTATTAAAGTGTACAATGTTTCAACAAGATTATGTCATTGATGATGACATAATCTTGTCAAAACGTTGTACATTTATGATAAAGCTTTCTTCATTACTCATTCAAGCCATCTCCAAACTTTTAAACTCCTAATATAAACTAAAATTCAACATGCTTGCAGTATTAAGTTTTAAAAGTTAGAAACAGCAAAGTCTGTAGTTGATGATGTTACATAACCTACATCACATCTTTCTGAAGTGGGGTTAAAAGCAAGATGTAGATAAGTTTATAGTTGAAGATTTATCTGAAAGGATAAATTTTAGAAACACGTCACCAGGGATCTAACAGAGGTCAAATCATTAAAAGGAAAATCAAATTAGGGTTTTATTCTTTAAACTAAACACCTAAAAATACTAACCCACATTTTCCATTATATTCAAACTTTCCTTGGTTTAATTGCATTGGAAGGTCAGGTGTTTGAAAATTCAACGCAACCATTTGGCAACCAGCATTCCAGAAAATCTAGGAAAGAATTAGTGAACTCAGCTATAATTCTAATTTTTGATCAAGCACAGTATGGTCAGCTTGTG